AGGGATTGAACTCAGGCCCTTGCGCTTGCCAGGGAAGTGCTTATTCCACTGGGCCATCTCCCCAGCCCCACTGTCTGATCTTTTTGAGACAGGGTCTCACTATGCAGTCCCAGCTGCCCCCCACCCCCCAGTACTGGGGATTGAACTCAAGGCCTTGCACTTGCCAGGCAAGCACTTATTCTACTGAGCCATCTCCCTGGCCCAGGCTGGCTTTGAGCTCACTTTGTAACCCAGGCTGGTTCCAAATTCACAGTGATCCTCCTGCCTCAGCCTCCCAAGTGCTGGAATCACAGGCATGCTCCACCATGCCTGGTTCTTTTTTTTGGTGCCCCTTCTTTCTTTTCTCCTGCCCTGTCCCTTGTTCTCCTTCTCATCTGAACATTGTCTTCTCATGTCCCAGGATCTAGCATGCATTTTGGTCCTTATGCACATTTTTGCTTTCTTACTCCAGAGACACCATGCAATATGTATGTCTGATTTATTTCACGTAAGAGTATGTGATGGAGACCACCATGAAGCCCTGAGCAGGACTTAAATTAACCAGTTGGCGTCCATGTTTACTTGTCAGTCTGTCCAGGGCCTAAGCCCTTTGTCACCCCTGAGGCTAAGGCAAGAGGATCACTGTGTGCTCAAGGCCAGCCTGGAGTATATAGGGAGACCCTGTCTCAGAGAGCAGACAGGGCCAGAATGCTAACTCAGTAGAGCAAGTGCCTGCCTGGCAAGTGCACGGTCCCAGGTTTAATCCCCAGCACAAGTGCAAGGTCCCAGGTCTAATCCCTAGCACAAGTGCACAGTCCCAGGTTTAATCCCCAGCACTATTTTTTTAAAAAAAGAAAAAGAAAAAAAAACACCAATTCTATGTCCCTGATGGAAACTACTGACCAGTTCTTTTAAAGTTTCTGCTATTTGACTAACATAAAACAACACAGGAACCGGTTCTTGAGCAACTTCTGGCCTGTAAGCAGTAATTCTGTTAGTTGGAACTTATCTAACCATAAAGTAGATGAACCAGACAGTCCTACTCTGGGGTAAGGTGGAGAAGGGTGGAGTGAGGGACCAAGAGGGGCGTGAGGTAGCCGAACTCCAGTTACATATTAGCACAAAGGTGACTGTGCCTGGTGACGTCGGCTTGAGTCAGCGAAACTAGACGGGAGCGAAGAGCAGAGGCCACCACCCGGAGAGTGAGAATCCGCACAGCCAGGCGGCGAGCAGGTGAGCACCAGCGTGGGACCAGCCCTGTGCCACTGTGGTCCCTCGGGCTCTGGACACAGGGAGCAGGGAGGCGGAGTCTGAAGCCCTGGGGTGGCTGCCGGTGTAAAGCAGCACTGCAGAGACCTGAGGAGAGAGGCTGGGTGAGCCGAACACCGGCAGGCACCAAGGTCTCAAAGAAAAGAACTGAAAAAGAAGGAGCCGGCAGGGGGCGGGTAAGAGATAAGGAGCAGGTGATGTGGAGAAAAGCCAGTGTGAGCACAGGGGGCTCATGTACACTGATGTATTTTCTCCAGTCTGTAAACAAAGGTCGACTATCTGCATTACTTTGGGTAGAATATGAAATCTTACATATTGGGACAAATGACACCTTTATGTAACTGACACAGTTGAGAAAATCCTCCCTTAGCAGCTCTGAATCCTGATCGTCCAGTGGTTGAGTGATTAATCATTTGGGGAAAATGTAACTTACTGAAAGGCTGAGGTTAGCGTCTGAGCCTCACAGGGTGAGGGTGAGCCTTGCTTACCCTGGCGTGTTCTGGTACCACATACACCAGAGACCAAGCACCTGCGGCCAGGCAGGTGTGATCTAAAAGTACAATGACTATTTAGTTGTTTCTTGCAAATTATTTTTAATATTGTAATTTTTAGTTTTTGTCTTTTTGAGGTGGGGTCTTGCCATGCAGTTTAGGCTGGCCTTGAGCTCACCTCATAACCCTGGCTCAGCTTCCTGAGCAGTGGGGCTGCAGTGTGCGCCACCACGCCCAGCTTAATGCCATTTTTAAGACAGCTAATCTTCAAGAAAAGTAGGTTGGAAATGGTGTTAGAAAGTGGGTGCTGTGGGGGCTGGGGAGATGGCTCGGTGGAATAAGCGCTTCCCTGGCAAATGTGAGGGCCTAAGTTCAATCCCCAGTTCCACCAAAAAAAGTCTGCTCTAGTAGTGAGACTCTGAACATCCTGTAGACCCTTCAAAAAAAAAAAAAAAAAAAAGTGGGTGCTGAGGGCGGAAAGAGCATAGTTTGTGTTGCTTCTTTGCTTGCTCTAAAATCTCGTTTTATTCTCAATACCTGGTATGACACTTCAGTTTTCACTCCATGAAAATGGATACCTAGGGTTCATATTTTTCCCTTTAAATCTTCTGGAAGAAATGTTTGTTTAGTAGAAGTAGAAGCTGGAGAGCTTTAGAAGATTAATTGATTAGGGGACTGGGGAGATGGCTCAGGGGAGGGGACTGGGGAGATGGCTCAGTGGAATAAGCGCTTCCCTGGCAAGCACAAGGGCCTGAGTTCAATCCCCGGTTCCGCCAAAAAAAAAAAAATGATTTCAGAAGATTGATTGATTGATTGATTGATTGATTGATTTTTTTGAGACAAGGTATTACTATGCAGTTCAGGCTGGTCTTGAACTCACTGTGTAGCCCAGGTTGGCCTCAAACTTGCAGTGATCCTCCTGCCTCAGCCTCCCGATTGCTGGTAATACAGATGTGTGCCACCGTGCTCAACAGTGGAGAGCTTTTTTAGAAACCACCAGAATAAAGAAAAGTGTTTTGGTTTGCATCTGTATGTCCCCAAAAAGCCACATGCAGTCATGGGAGCAGCTGAATGTAGAGTTTACGATTGATCCGCCATCTGACGCTGGGACTGCGGCAGTGGTGCCACAGCCACCTTGGGGCAGGCAGCCTGCATGCAGTGGACAGGACAGAGAGAGGCTTTTCTCTCCGCCCCTCTTTTTCTGCTCTTGCTGCTTTTGCTGCCTGCTGCCTCCTTGAAGTGTTGCCTTGTGCCAGGCCACCCTGCCTTGAAGCCAGCCAAGTACAGGCTGAAACCTCCCCAAACCAAGAGCTAAAGAAACATTTTCCTCTTTAATTTGGGCGTGAGGTATTTTGTCTCAGCAAAGACAGAAAAGCAACCAAGCCAAGAAGTATGAGTGGCCCCTGAAGAAACCACTCACAGAAAGGGAGGAGAGCTGGGGCCTGCAGCCCCTCTGATGCACTTCCTGAGGGCGAAAAGGGGCCGGGTGCTGGATGAAGCGAGTCCGCTGTGAGACAGGGGTGATTCTGTTTTCAGTCATTTAGGTTGACCTGTGTGCCTACCCCCTTTACTGTAAGGACCAGCCACCGGGAGTGCTTTAAGACTTGAGTATGAATCTGGCCAGGCAGCTGCCCTCTGAGTGATTGATTTCCTGTGATAAAATTTCCTTTGTTTGGGATTCTGAGAGTTGAACAATTGACAGTGTTTCTTTCTCTGGCCAGTAGTGCTCATTCTTAGCCATAGAAGTTTAATTGGCCTTAAATAGTGTTCAAAAGGATGATTCCAACTCTGCAGTTTTTGGTACCTGAGAACAAGTCTAGTAGAACAGTTGGCTTTCATTTACAAGTAGTACACTCCCTTGGGGACGGGAGGCTTCTTTTCAGAGGGAGGGTGCTGGGGTTTGGACCTAGGCTTTCACACTGAGCACCCTAGTCCCCCCCTTTTTCATTTGTGTATTTGGTACAGGGTCTTCCTATGCAGATCGGACTTGTGATCCTCCTGCTTTCAGCCTCCCCAGCGCTGGGATTACAGGCTGCTGTGCACCACCATGCCTGGACTCTTGTCGCCAGCTCAGCGTGTGGGACTAGGGATGGAACCCTGGTCCCTGCACTTGCCAAAGCGGGTGCTTAGTCGGCTGAGCTATCTCACTGGCCCTCCCATCTCTTTAGACATTTTTTGTTTTGAAATTTTGAGACAGGGTCTCACTGTATTTTGCAGGCTGATCTGCAATTCACGGTTCTCCTACCTCAGCCTTCCATTTCCATAGTGCTGGGATTGTGGGTGTGTACCACCTCACCCAGAAGTTAGGCGTTTTGGTTAAACAAACTGTAGGTAGTCAACTAACTTGATAAAATTTCAGCCTTAATCTAAAATCCAAATATACCAAGGAGGCAAGTAGAAAAGACAATAGGAATGAGAATTGGGAGCTTTGGAATCTGATGTCGCACTCACTGCTGAAGAAATCCAGGCGTGAAAACTGGATTAGGAGACCCACAGTTGTTTTCTCTGTTTAATACCAAGAGTAATACATACTGGCCAGGAAGCAGATGAGTGTGGAGAGATGTTTCTGGTTGCCACTGTTGGTGTGCCGGGAGGGAAGACGCAGGGCTGCAGAGAGGCTGCTACATGCCTACCGCAGCGGAAGCCCTGTGGCAAAGAATTAGCCCGTCCCCCAGGGCAGTAGGGCGAAGCTGCGGAGCCCTGACCTTGAGCTCTTGTCCTCAACAGCAGGGTTCAGCTGAGCTTCCCAGCAGACCTACTGCAGATCGCCAAAGCAGCAAACACTTACTTCATATCTCTCTGGGAGAAAAAAAGAAAAGAAAGTTAAACTAAAACCACTTCCCAGAATGGATCCCGTTATGCCACTGAACACAGCTGAGTGTTTCTTTCTTTGGTGGAACCGGGGATTGAACTCAGGCCCTTGCGCTTGTCAGGGAAACACTTATTCCACTTAGCCATCTCCCCAGCCCACAGCTCAGTGTTTCTGTCACAGGCCTCGAGAGCATTTCAAACGCACTGTAATGTCTCTGGTGCAGTGATGAAAAATAAGCTTCTGAATGTTTTAAAAATTATTTCCTAGGCAGCCAGGGAGATGGCTCAGTTGAATAAGTGCTTGCCTGGCAAGCACAAGGGCCTGAGTTCAATCCCTGGTTCCGAAAAAAAAAAAAAAATATTTCCCAGTAATAATAACAAAACCTGTTCTATGTTTTACAACCTCAGTCCTGGGGAAACACTAGAAGATGTTATATTCAAATAATGTGCTATAATTTAAAAACCAGTGGACCAGACTTAGACACATGAACACATCTATGTGTCATTTGGTTTCCCTGATGCCGGTGGGAGGCAGGTGGCACAGGTGCGCCTGCACTAACCTCAGGGGGAAGAAATGGGTCTCCAAGACTGCGTGGGGCCACACCATTTCCTGCAGACAGTAGCAGGGCTGCAGCCCAGTGCCTCTGACCCCAGGCCTGGTGCTTTCTGTGCCCCGTGTCCTTCCTCCAGGTTTCCAGAAGCATCTGGAATTAGCCTTCATACTATACAAATCCAAAGCAC